AAACTAGGAAAAATTGTTGAAAAAGGAGAGAAGAGCAGAATAAAAATATGCACCTTATTAAGTACTCAAGTTAGGCTTTGTTTCAACAGGAGATGGAAACTACAGGGTTCCTATAAACTTCACAGAGAAGGCAGAATTTAAGGAGGGATTGAAAAAGTAATGGCAAATGCAAATGAAATCATTTTATGTAGATGGCCATGACCAGTGCTTCAAATGAGATTTATTTATATTAAGCAGCCTAGTGCTAGCTGAAAAGGGTGGAAATTCAGAGTTGTATTAATGCATGTGGTAGTACATGATAAATTCTGACTTTCTTTTGGAGTGTAGCTTTTTCCACCCACCACAGCGAACATCTTAAGCCATAGACAATCCCATTAGTATTTCTTCACTCATTCAGGAATCAGGAAAAGTTAAGATGTTTTAAACTATCTTGGCATTTTTGCTGTTTGCAGCAGAATGTGTTATTGCTAGATTTTGGGGGAAAAGCTGCTATGCTAACATAAAATCTCTGAAAAAAGTTTGGAAAACTTATGATAATGAAAAAGCTCTCATATCAAATCAAAATTGCCAAAGGACAGAGGAAGTTTTGTTAACATTATGGTATTTGTAAAACTTTACAGAAAGAAGACATAAGCAAAATGCATTTTTTATTTAACTAAAAGCAAATGGTGTTAATCATGGAGCTCCTCGGAAATTCTGATAAGGTGGTAAATTTATTGTCTTGTTATTTAAGAGAGGCAAAAATACAGTTTGAGTCTTTGGTTTTTAGAGTTCTTTTTAAAGTAATAGTTGTGTAAGACTTCAGTTTTCATTTCATATACATCCCACACTTTATTTGATAAAAGCTGTTGTAAAGGTTTTTCTTCATAGGAGACTTAAACTTCTTTTAGTGCTTATAGAAGCAAAATGCCAAAAGAACCACGGTGGTATATATACACCATTGAGAATTCTGTTAGAAATGTGTTTTTCCCAATGGGAAATATTGTCCATATTCTCTGTTATTCTCTGGGTATCATCAGCAGGTACAAGTAGTCCACAATTGAGCCAAAATTTTCTGTCGCTAAACGAAGTAATGGTTGAATGAATTTTGCCCCATTTAACAACCTTTCTTGTCACAGTGGTTGAGTGAATCAATGCAACTGCTAAGTTAGCAATGTGAATCTGGCTTCCTCACTGACTTTGCTTGTCAGAAGGTGATCGCATGACCATAGGACACTGCAACCATCATAAGTGCATACCAGTTGCCAGTGTCCAAATATTGATCATGTGACCACGGGGATCCTGAAACGGTTGTAGGCGTGAAAAGGGGTCATAAATCACTTTTTGCAGTGCCGTTGTAACTTCAAAATGTCTCCAAACGAATGGATGTAAGTCAAGGACTACCTGCATTTGCCCTTTATGAGAGCATGTTGCCATTTCCTAATCGTGCTTTTTATATACTATATCTATAAGTATCGACTGGTTCCAGAAGAAGAGGCTTGCTGTGGACTCTGTCAAGGAATTTTGGCTGGTGGGGTCCAGGTGAAGAGCAGAGGTGGTATTCAGCCAGTCTGGCAGGTTCTTGAGAACCAGTAGCAGAAATTTTGAGTAGTTCCAAGAACCAGAAATAACACCCCTGGTTGGTATCTATTCATCCATCTATTCGCTGCCTCCTGAGTTCCAGCTGATTGGCTGGGTCTTTTGTTGCCCTGCACAGGAGAATGGAGCTGGAAAGCAGGTTAATGGGGTGAGGAATGGGGATTTTACAGTATCCTTCCCCTGCCACGCCCACCAAGCCACATCTTGCCCACCAAGCCACGCCCACAGAACAGGTAGAAAAAAAATGTGAATACCACCACTGGTGAAGAGCTTTTCCTTCTGAGGCCCCCACTCTTTGGAATATTCTGCCACTGAAGGTGAGACACACTCTCATTCTTTTGGCTGTCTAGAAGGGCCTTAAAACCTGGCTCTGTTGGCTGGCCTGGGCTGTAATCAGGTTGCTCTATGCTGGAGATGAATGATAGGGTAGAGTGAAGATCCCACCCCTATTCTCTTGATTTTTAGTTTCTATTTCATCCTTTCATCCTTTAATAATTTTCATATTCATCTTTGTATCATTTTATAAGCCCCTGGAGTCATTCAGTAGAGAGCAAGGCAGCATATACATTTAATAAATAAAGTAACTCCATAATCCCCATAACTATTTCGAACTCTCATCACTTGAGGAATACAATATTGACTTATGTGCTAAGTCTAACTTGTGATTGGTTGTCATTGTAGATCATTATTGCAGAAAGATCTTCCATTCCCTTATCTGATTAGTCAGCCTGGACCAGTTGTTCTGAAACATCAAAGAATACAGATATTTAACTAGCCAAATGCTAATAACTACAGAGAAAATGTTATCATCTCCTCCTCTCAAAATACACTACTATTCAGTGAGATCGCTTTGTGTGTTTAACTGCCAGTCCTTATGTGTACAGGATTCAACTAAGGAAAACAAAGGTTGTGTGGGCATTTTTAAACCAGGTTTGTGTGTAAACTGGGTGGCTCAAGATGGCTCAAGCCATCTTCACCAGAAAGCATTTGTGGATGACAGAAGGCAATAGGAGAATTTTGTCTATGGATTTGTACATATCATCTGAACTTAGCCATCTCTATTTTTTCCCCATGATCAAGTATGTACAAATGAATCTTTTTTTAAAATAAATCTTGAAAACTGAAAACAGGTGAAAATTTAAACGGAATACTATTGCTATAAATCAGAAGAGGAAGACATCCCGTTTAATCAATATTATGCCTATTGAAATAAAAATTACTACACATTTATCCTATTGGGCCAACATTTTTTTAGACCTAAAATGGTCAAAAATCATAGGCTTAGTTAGACCTATGATCTCTAAACATTTCCTTACACTTATAACATTGTCAAAATTGTTGAATTAGAATTGGGATAGCTAAAGCTAAACCACTACATTTTTACATGCTGCTGAAACTAACATCTGATTTAGCACTCCATTTTCTCCTTGCCTCATACCACATTAGCCAAACTTGCCTTTGAACAAATGAGAATTAAAACAGTTCAATGTCAATCCTGATTTCAAGACTTAATTTATCATATTCAGCATTATGTTTTTATAAATAGATATTGTTGTCCCCTCCTTGGGTTCTTTTTCTGCTAAACCAGTTTCTGCAGATTAGGTTTATTGTGTCTCTATTTAATTTAATCTGATTTAAGAGCCATTGCAGGTACTTGAGGAAACTCATTTTTGAATGGGTGACTTGAAGCTCTCCCCTATTGCTCAATTGAATTGCTGTCAACCCATCTCCAGTCAGCAGAACATATCAACATAAATTGCTGCACCTTTGCTGATTCCTCCACCTAGCGCAGGGGTGTCAAACTTTTATCATCACAGCATCGTCATGTGACGTATTGTGACTTTCCCCTGCTTCGCTAAACCGGGTATGGGCATGGCCAGCATGTGATGCATTTGGCCTGTGGGCTGTGAGTTTGACACCCCTGACCCAGTGGGTCTATCAGCATCCTAGCCCCAGAACTTGGAGGAAAAATCAGTTCTTCACTCTGTTCCTGAAGGCCAACAGGGTTTGGGGCCATGTGTATCACTTGGGGAAGGCTGTTCTATAAGGCCATTGCCATAAAAGAGAGGAGTACTTCCAAGGTCCCACCAGGACAGGCTGCTTCACTTCATTAACAAATGCAGTCAATGATGTCTCCTGAACTGAAACCTGATTGTAATGGGTTCAGATAATCTGCTTCTTTCAGAATTCTTTGAAGATAAATAAAACATATTTAATTATGTGAACCAGTATTATACCTGCTCAATGTGGATACCCTTAAAAAGCTGAGTTCAGGTTGTGCTAAAACGTTCCTTTGTTGAATAAGCAATAATGGTCTGATTCATGTAATTCAGGTGTGACAACCATTTGGGAGCCAATGGCCACATGGAGCATTGGGAGGATTGAGAGCCACAAGGTAGGTATGACTTTGTCTGGATAACGCAGGATTTGAGATAAAATTGATGGTGTTTCCTTTAAACTGTGTTATTCCTATTTTAGGATTTGCATTAATAGTTCTCACATGTTTCCTTTTTCAAGATAACAGAAAACCAAGCTGTTAATTTTAGGAGTTATAACAGTGAGGAAGAAGATCTGAGAAACATGAAAAGGTGATCCAAGAACTGTGGATTGTACTATCTCTTTTCAACTGCATGTTGTAAGTCTTAAAAGTACTTGTAGAACTTGATGATTTCTCTTTAAGAGCAAAGGTGGATAAAATGATTATTATATTTCTAGTCTGCCTTTCTTCCAGATACTTAGGGTAGTGTACATAGCACTATCTATTCCATACTTTTTTCCTTCATACAACTACAAGTCTCTGTTATGCAAACCCATTCCATTTGATTATCTTATCATTCAATATATTGTGTAAACTCAGAAAGTGGGTTAGTTCAGTAACCTTGCTGAAGTTAATCACTGAATTAACCCATTTATCAGAATTTATGCAATATGTTGAATGGTAAGCTAACCAAATGGGATGGATTTTACAACTAAGTCACAGCTCTTAGGTAACCCATCTTAAACAAACTTAGTATGTTATAATTAGATCCCTAGTCCCTAGATCATTAACTGGACTGATTAGGAATGAATTGAACTGATGAGGAATGAATTGTTCCTGTTTGAATTGATGCTGCAAACTGAGATACACAAGCCAGCTCTAGAGCCTCTTATGGGAGGGATTAATTTAGTGATTCAATGGTGACTCAAGGGTCTTTCTCTGAAACTTGTTACCTATTGTGAAATGTTAAATATTTTTGGGTTCTGTCATCTTGTTATAGGGATATTGTATGCAGATATTGTATCAACTAGTTAATCATTAACCATCCAAACCAAGTTTGCAAACAGGGGCAAAGTCTCTGTCATAGTTTATTGACTTTAGTGAAAGTAGCACAGCAGCACACAAATGTGATGGGATGTGTAGAATGTCACTACGTCCTTGTAAAATCAGCCCTGGACAGTAGGAATGGAAGAAGCAGTTTACTGGACAGTGAAAGAAGATTCTTCTTGATTGCTCTTGAACAAAAGACCAATGGAAGCTCATCAGAGAGTAAGGCAAAATATACTTGCAATTAGCTGGTCCACCAAAATGGTGGACAAAGACATTGTGAATGATGCCAACCTGAAATCTTCCATGTTCTTTGATTGATGTTGGGGGTGGATAAAAGGGGAAGAATATATCTTCCTCTACCTTGTTTTGTTGATGTCAATCTTCCATCTTGGCTGAAAAGTGAGGCCCTCAAAAGGAATAGCTTGTTGCAAATGACTTTTTATATTGGAGCACATTTCAAGTCATCAGAGACTTGAAAGAGTATGAAAAGAATCTGAAATACTTCACTAAACTGTGAAGCCGAGATTTCTAAGCTAGTCACTGGTCTGAAAAGGAAACCTTAGGTAACTGTGCCTTCCAATTACTTCAGGTAAGAATTGCCTTTGTAGAAGTATGATGGCCTCAGTGCACTGTGATGATAGGAATACTAAAAAAAAGGAATAATCTTATTGTCACAATTTCTTTCTCCCTAACAGAATTCAAAATAAGAGCTACAAATTAAAAAACAGAGGACAACAATGTTCCAGGAGGCCAGATTGTGTGGCATAAAGCTGGAGAACACCAACAAGATTTATTTCAGTCTTCATTTTTATTTACAGCAAACCAGTAGAAAGAAAAAGTGAGGAGAGACTTGAACGATCAACTTCCAAAATGACTGAATGGTTCAAAAGAAGACTATCAGCCTGCTGCATGAATCTGCTTTACTCAATGAATCCAAACTTCTTCATTAAACTGCTGGTCATACTCCTATTATATAAACATGGTAAGAGATTTGCTCCTGGGTTATTTTTTGGGGGGTGGGGGGGGGGTGTTAGTTCTAAATTAGAGTCTTTCTCTACTGTTGAGTTAAACTATTCTCCATCCAAATTTCATTCAGCAAAAAAACATTAGCTTAACATTTGTTGTTCTCATTGACAGTTCTACTGATACTCTGCTGACTCTGTTCCTGGACAGTCTTTATTTGAATCAAGCAAAACACCCATGAAAAATGAGGGCTGGATTTTTTTCTTTGTTTTTTGGGGGTGGGGATGGGATACAGCTTGAAGCTACAGTTTTCATGCATTTTTGACTTAAATGGAGATTGTACCACCAATTTGTTGCTGTAATAGTCAAAGGAAGTTCTTTACAAATAAGACTTGTTTTTGATTTTGTTTGAAGCATTTGGGTTTATGAGTGCCTTGCCTTGCCTTTTTACAAGAGCCTCCTTCCATTTCTGATCTTCTGGAAAATTTGTTATAAAAATGCTATAAAATATCATTATCCAGAAGAGTGCCATTCTGATACACCAATGGTCTAGAATAGTCTTTGTATTCCTGTCCCTGTGTCTTCTTAATTGGATGGCTGTACTTACAACTTTCCTTCCAGTTTGGGTATAGTGAGTGGAGATTTATGGGAATTGGAGTCATTATGTCTGAAGAGAACCAACTTGGAGAAGGCCTCTCATATGTAGAAATGCTTTCGTCAGACATGAACAACCAAGCCCACACATGTAGAGGTCAAACTAGCTACTTTATTGTTCTATATCTATTTTACAGGCATCCTGGCATACTGGTAATTTTGCCTGGGAAAAACTAGGCTGAAAGGCATGGGGTAGTGGGATGTGTCAGACCTTGCTCTCTTGTGTTTATGTAATGAGTGTATGCTAATTCCTTGTTTGATTCTGCCCTCCCGACTGGGATGTTCTCCAATAGCTTTCTTGCTTAAAAAAAAAAGAGAGGGGAATATCCTGTGATCTCCAGCAGAGATATCCAGGGATGGATGTGGGGAAGCACAGAAAAGTTCCAGAAAAGTAGACCGCAATGAAGAGTGGACATAGAGTGAATTACTTCTTTCTAACTTGAGGAATTTATGCAGGAGGCATTCTCTGTTGTATTCAGAACCCATGTTATCTAGATCTTTATTGTTTATTTAAATCTGTTGGCTGCCCAATTCCAGTGGACATTTTAAAAGAGTTGGAAACTTTGGGACCAGATGACCAGGTTTTACTTATGAAATTGCTAGATGATGAGTCAAGGATTATGGGGAAGGGTTTTTTTTGCAGTTTTGCAAAGGATGTTGAAGGATTAATGTACGGTCTTATTTCTAATTTTTTTAAAAATTTCCCTTGTTACAGTTGACTCCCAATGCAAGATTTCACGCTGTAATTCTGAATTTATAGATGCCACAGCAAACATGCGTAACTTTAAAAGGAACACTGCCTACTGTAATGCCTTGACTGCCTACTCCAGCTGCACCCGAAGGACAGCTCGCACTTGCCGCGGGGACTTGGCATACCACGCAGCTGTTTATGTCATTGAAGACCTCATAATTCAGAACAACTGTTCCAAGGAACAGCCAACAGCAGTGCCCAGACCTCCAGCACTGGCACCCAACAAACATGATTTCCCATCCACAGACACCTGTGACTATGAGAAGAGTTTTATCCACAAGCATGGCCAGTCCCCCACATACCAGTATTGCTCTGTCTTTGGGGATCCTCATGTCCGGACCGTCAGTGATGAGTTCTACACTTGTCGAGTTGAAGGCTCCTGGCCACTTCTGGACAACAATAATTTGTTTGTGCAAGCCACTAGTTATCCTATCATTAAAGGATCAAATGTCACTGGAATCACCAAGGTAGAATTACACTCTTTCATATTGGGTTTGGGCAACCAATAGGGTGAATGTATTCAGCACATACCATGTGATTTGAGAATTCCCAACAGCTTGAGAAAAATGCTGGCAAAATAGCTGATTTTGCTGGTGTGATTTGATTTTTTCTTTTTACTTTTGGAGGGTGGAAATTGTAGCAATTGGATTATATAACATGCTGTCAAACAAACTAGAGTATGATTTAATACGATACAGGTAATCCTTGTCTTATAACAGTTCATTTAGTGACTGTTTGAAGTTACAGTGGCACTGAAAAAAGTAACTTATGACCATTTTTCACACTTACAACCATTGCAGCATCCCCCATGATCACATAATCAAAATTCAGAGGCTTGGCAACTGACTCATATTTATGACAGTTGCAGTGTTCTGAAGTCATGTGATAAACTCTTGTGATTTTCTGACAAGCAAAATCAATAGGGAAGCCTGATTCACTTAACAACCTTGTTAGTAACTTAATTCACTTAAGAAAGGTTGTAAAATGGGGCAAAGGTACTTAAAAACTGTCTTGTTTAGCAATTGAAATTTTGTGCTCAATTGTGTAGGAAGTCAATTACCTGTATCTGATCCCAGCCAATATCTTATCAATTTTTCCTTGGTTTCCTCTGATAATTCAGGAATGTGTTTGAGACTCTTCTCATCTGGTGCCTTTCCTAATAGATTGGAAAGCATTCTCTGTCCTCTCCAAACAGGAAATTGAACCTAAGTAATGGGTGTATAACTGATGTGAATATTGCTGCTCCTATCACTGAAGCAGGATTTTTGATATAATTCCCAGCATTTGCAAGGATCTAACATTATTGGAGCTTCCAGTGGTTTGATTGGATCAAAGAAGTTGTCATTATTCCTAAGCTGGTTCAGTCACCTTTAGTTAAATAGCTAGGACTATCCAATTTCTGGCTGAAAGCTTGGAGCTTCCCCAGACCAGTCAGTACTTCCTGATATCTGAACCAATTAGCTCTGAAGAGCAATGTACTTTACTATAGTTGGTGAAGGAACATGCCTGGAAGCAGGTTAACATCAACACATAATAGAAGAAGCAATTTATCTTCTTATGCTCCTTTGTTTTTCCAGAAATCCCACAAGAAGCTGTATGCTTTCTGCTTTTTTCAGATCTGAATTACAGTATGTTCGGTCATAGGTAAACTGGAACCCTTTTGTATTTGGGGGAGGGTCCTGCTGTTGTTGGAAACCCCCTAATTTGTCTCTCTTCTGTAGTATAGAATACAGCACTGTGGATTCTCATGCTCATGGGTAGAGCATGGCAGTTAACTTTATCAGGTCTCCTGATAAGGGATGAAGTGTGTTTGTATTTCCCCCTTTTCTTCAGTTACATAAGATAAAGCATCTTAGTTAATTTTAGACTTCACTCCTATCTGATGAATAGTGTTTGCTTTTCTTCTAAATAAGGGTAACAGAATTTAACTTGATGTGTGTTCCCCTTGGATGGTAATATATGAATTGGTCATTGAATGGCTCTTAGAGAAGTTAGCTATCTGAACTATCCCTTGTGTTTTAAAGCTATTATTCCCTTGCAGCTTACCATTATATTTAAAAACATGAAAGAGTGCATTGAAGAGAAAGTCTACCAGGCAGAAATGGACAACCTGCCAGTAGCATTCGTGGATGGTTCAGTGAATGGTGGTGAGAAACCTGGAGGGACTAGCTTAACCATTCATGAACATATACCTGGGCAGCACATAACTATCCAAGCCACATACATTGATACCACCATTGTTGTGCGCCAGGTAGGGAGGCACCTGTCCTTCTCCATCCGGATAGCTAAGGAGATAGCAGTCTCCTTCACAGATGAACAGGATCTCCAGCTGTGTATATCAGGATGCTTTCTCAGCCAGCGCATCTCTATACATAACTGCTGTCCTCCAAAAGGCAGCCTGACCAGAAAGAAAGCTCATCTGCTATGTAAGGAGAAGCTACCAGTTGAAGACGTCTACTTCCAGTCATGTGTCTTTGATGTGATGACTTCAGGAGATGTTAACTTTATTCAAGCAGCACAGAAGGCATTGGAAGATGCCAGAGCACTCCATCCAGATTCCAAGAAAATCCATATTTTCCACCGCGATAGGACTTCTCATCCTCGCAGTTCATCCTTCCTTCTCTTAATCACCATAGTGCTACAACTGTATGTTTGAACATTTCAGTGATGACACTAGAAAGTCCAGGGGATGAGCAAATACAGTTTATTTCTCTAAATGGCTTTCTAGTGCTGATAAATGAGCTATCACAGCCTGTTTTAAAACTAGAGGTAGGTGTTTCTTCTAAGTTTTTTGTGTGGGAATCTCATTCTTAAGATCAGGAACATTCCAGGAAGTTATGAATATTTCTCTATCTTGTGATGAATGGGATTTTTATTTTTAATGCTTCTTCGTGCAATTAATCAAAAGGACCTTGAACTATAATTCCCACATAGCCTAGTGACAGTTATAAACTGGAGCTCTTTCTTGGAATTTGACGACATCCTTAGTTAAGATCCTTAATTATTACGAAGGAAATACTTTGGAATTAATTTGGGCACTCAGTTGCTTAAAAATTTTTTTTTAAAGATTTAATAGAAACCTGAGAGAGATGAAAACTAATGGTAAATGTTCTTTGGCACCTTAAAATATCTGGACAGTACACACTGAATGTAGTAAGCCATTTTTTTCTTCTCAGCATTCTGTTTGCTCACTATCTTTTCTGCTTTATTTAATCTCTTCTGAAAACTGGAAATTCACAGCTATCTACAGAAATAAAGCTGAAGCCACATTGCCCCTTTCATTAAGTTTTAGTTTGCAAAGTCAGTGTTTCTAGAAAACAACTTTGCTCTAAGTGTCTATAATGATTTGTTTATCACCAAAAGAAAAATGGGAACTCAAAAAATGTAAGGGCTACTCAGATGCAATCAGTATAAATGCCTGAACTATAAATGCAGTCAGAAGAACACATTTTCTTTTTCTTTTACCCAATACTTGTTTTTCTTTTTCCAGACAAACTGCAGTTGTTTTCTTCCCATTGATAGCTCAGAATGTAGATTCTATGGAACCAGATTTGAACAGAAGTTCCCAATATATTCTTGAATAGCATTTTATGAGTGTTGGATTGGATTGAAATGATAATGAATTATAATGTCACAACTCTTTTGCACTAGCATTCACACACACATACACACACACACACACGCATGCACACACAAACTAAAATAAAGGCAATGTGTATAAAATTTGTACTGGTTTCCACTTCAGTGTTTTGATGCCCTTATCTGAATAACTTAAATTAATAATGTATCTTAAGGATTATAGTTTTGGATACACTTATGTTATATGTTTTATTCTTCATATCCCATGAGCTTCAATATAATTTGGTATGAGTTGAATATCCCATATAAAATGTGCATTAAATATACAGAATGTTTACTCCTAATCAGTCCTCAGAATGTTGGTGAGATGTTTGTATAGATGTGTGATGACCCAAAGTAATATATTCCAATTGGAAAAATGATTCAAGGGTATAAATGAAATCAGTTTAATAAAGTTAAACATGTTTTTTAGTTATACTGCTTAGCAGTTATTCTTTTTCATAAAGGGAAAACTATACATCCATTGCACAGAATTCATTAGGGCTTGCTAGAGTTTAGTAATCAGAAAATGATTGTTTTTCAGCAGAAATGTAATAGAGTTACCCTCTTATTGAACTGGCAGAAACTTGCAATATCGGGATATTATTTGATTTTCATACTGCTGCACACACATAACTATCAGGGTTTACAATAAATAAACAAACCAGAGTCCAATATAATATTAATAATTTTCTTCATTTGTATGCCATCTGTTTCTGAAGGCCTTTGGTTGCTAATCTTCATTCATGCAGCTATAAGAAGAATATTCACAATTATCTGGAACATATAATTCCAAAGGCACTATCCTAGCTAATTAAAAAGAGCTCTATTTTAACCTACTGCTGGAATGTCCAACGTTAAATTATTTCACCAGTGTGATAATGAAAAGGATTTCCTCCTAGTCTTGGTTGGCTCTTCAGATTACCAACATGTTTTTTCTTTTTGGGTTTAGTTGTAGATGGTGGTGGTAATATACCTCTGAATGTGCCAGGGATGTAAGCCAGAGATTTTCAAACTTGGCAAACTTAAAAAGTTGGCTGAATTCACACATCTTTGCATTGCTAAGTTTGAAAACGACTGTTCTAGGCCACACAGGGCTTGCTATATTAAAATCAACATTTTAAATTGGAATTGGAATCCTTCTGGCATCCTATGTAGAGTTCATAGCACAGATACAATATGTACGTTCATGGCATTTACTATCCATGCATGAGCTGTTCCACTTTATGTCAACTGAAATGTCCGAGGCGTATTTAAAGGCAGAATCCTCTCAAAAACTTATTAAATTTCCCAGCTGCAGAATTGCCTTAGTGAAAGGTTATTACAGTGTCAAACTCTTGTGACCTTCTATTACAAGAACCTTCTTATATAGAAGGCACAGAGAGTTCAAGTGTCATTACTGGTATATATGAGGGATTTGGTGATTTGGCCAATAGATCTCAGCTTTACTTACTTATGAGCTTCTAAAATGGACCTGGAATAATTTCAGAAGCTTTTTGGACTATACTTCAGTGATAGAAGGTATGTTTTGCATTCAGAAAGTCTCGATCTCAAGAAGAAAAAGGACTAGAAAATTATCTTACTTCTATTCTAGTTCTAGAAGTCAATTCATCCAATATAATTCTGAACTCTATGGAGCTTATTTGAAGCTGCTGAATTCCAAATCTGGAAATATTTCTGTTCAGATAAATTCTTGGCTATGTCCAAGATCAGGGATGGGCAATTATGGCAACTTTACAACCTGTGACTGGCTCAGGAATTCTGGGAGATGAAGTCCACGGTCGTAAAATGGCCATAATTGCCCATACCTGACCCAGATTCTGTTTAGAGCAGAGGTCCCCAAACTTGGCAACTTTAAGACTTGTAGACCAACTCACAGAATTCTCCAGCCAGCATAGGAGTTGAAGTCCACAAGTCTTAAAGTTGCCAAGTTTGGAGACTCCTGGTTTAGAGGGAGTCATCCACTATGAAAAAAATCAGGGTGGGCTTTATCAGAATCCTAGTTCAGTGGGAAATATCAGCAACTATTTAGTTTAACAATTCTAACCAGAGAACCCGAGTCCTACGCATTTAAAATTCTGAAATGGCTTGGAGAATAACTTCAATTTTTTTTTTTTTTCAAAATTTATTTATTACATTTAAATCCCACTCTGGCTATATGAATTCACTGCTCATTTTTATCTTCAGAATAGCACCTGGGGTTTGTGAGGTTGAGAGATTTCAATTAGCCCTACTTTATCAATGAGATCCATATATGTTAGAACTTGGTCCTCTTCCATTTCATTACAGTATGCTAATACATATTAGAGAATGCTTCATTCTAATTTAGTTGACATATTAATAAACATTATTGTTGCATGACTATGAAATGGATGATTGATTATAAGACATCATCATATCGTATCAGTGTTGGCTCTTAATCACCACATGGATAGCATTGGTCTATGCTCAGCCTGGCCACTTTATGTACCCATCTTTTCTGTAATGAACTCCATCCACCTTACTGCTGGTTATCCTTTCACCTTTCACTTTTCTCAACAATATGGACTTTTCAAGGGAGCTGAATTTTCACATAATGGGTGCAAAATATGAAAATTTGAGCACAGGCATTTGTACCTTGAGTAACAAATCTGGATTGATTTGTTCTATGATCCATTTTTCATTTTCTTGTCTTTCTATGATGTTGGCAGGTGTTTTCCCAACATCATAATTCAAAAGTGTGAATACTTTTTCCATCTGGCTTCTTTGAAGTCCAACTTTCACTTCCATACACTATCATAGGGAAAACCATTTCTTGCACAATTCTGATCTTTGTAGGTATGTACACTTTACAGCATCTGGGTTTCCTTTCCAAGACTTTTATTCCTCATACACCAAGTGCTAGTCTACAATGGAAATTTACTGTTGACAGTCAATCTTAAAAGGCAGACGTTATCAACCATTTAAATAGCTTCACTGTCAGTTCTAAAGCAGGTGGCTGTATGTGTTATTTTTTATATTCTTTTTATATTTAATCTTAGCCTCTATTTTTTTTATTGTGAGCTTTGATTTTCATTACTAGAGCTTTTAAATAATTTGCACTGTCAACTGAGTAGCATCATCGATAGTACAGGTTATTTATGTTTTTCTTCCATTTTTAAAAACATGCTCATCTTCTTTCAATTTAATTTCTTTCAATATAGATTCAGCATATAGACTGAATAAATAAGGAATAAAAAAACCTGGAACCCATTGGTTTGTCCTTATTCTGTCTGGACTGTGGCTTCTCATTCTCTGAATAGGTATCAATCAGTGGTGGGATTCAAAATTTTTACTATCAGTTCTGTGGGTGTGGCTTGGTGGATGTGGTGTGGTTTGGTGGGCATGGCTTGGTAGGCATGGCAGGGGATGGATACTGCAAAATCCCATTCCCTCCCCACCTTATGAACCTGCTTTCCAGTTCCCTTCTCCTGTGCAGGGCAACAAAAGATGATCCAGCCAATCAGCTGGGACTTGGGAGGCAGAGAGTAGATGGGGGCAGGGCCAGTCAGAGGTGGTATTTTCTGGTTCTCTGAATTACTCAAAATTTCCACTACCGGTTCCTCAGTACTGGTCAGAACCTGCTGAATACCACCTCTGGTATCAACCATTTAGGGTTGACCCAAAAGAAGACTACAACCACATTATAATAGATCCTTGTAAGCCTGTCATCATTTTCCTTACCATTTTTCTTATATCCCAGGGAGTTAGAGAGGAGCCAGTATGAGTCTCTTTCTAATATTTTCCCTGTTTCTTGGGCTTAAAATAAGTTTTTAGATCTATTGATGTAGTAATGATATCTGAATACTTTTTCCAAGGTCATCCCCATGGCTCCTTATAAAAGGTTTGTAAAGGGAGCAATGAGATCTTCTGAGATTCCCATTTTATTAAAGAGATTCCACAGCGATACATATGTTGTTGTGTCCTTCCTAAGATTTTTATTAATCACTTTACCTTGTCTAGACAGGTGGTTTTTCTTGGTAAAAAAATACATGATATAATAGCAATAGCACTTAGACTTACTTATTGCTTCACAGTGCTTTAGAGCCCTCTCTAACCGGTTTACAGAGTCACATATTGCCCCCAACAATCTGGTCATCATTTTACTGACTTCAGAAGGATGGAAGGCTGTGTCAACCTTGAGCTGGTGAGAATCGAACTGCCAAACTGCTGGCAGCTGGCAGTCAGCAAAAATAGCTGCATTCTAACCATTGGGCCACCACGGCTCTTGTACATTTTTGGTTTACCTTTGCCTTTTTCCATGCAATATGAAATGAACCCTTTGCTGTTATCATTTAAGTCATCATCTCCAGCATCTGTACCTGTCAACAGTGGTGTCCCCCAAGGCAGTGTTCTAGGACCAACTCTTTTCATACTCTACATAAATGACCTCTGTGATCATATCAAGAGCAACTGCGTTCTCTTCCCTGACGATGTAAAGCTATTCAACACCATAGACAATACTGCTACCCTTCAAAAAGACCTTGACTATGTATCAGAATGGTCAAACAAATGGCAACTTCAAATCTTAACAAATAAATGCTCTTCTTACATATTGGCAAAAAAATCAGAAAATAAAATACAAGCTGAATAGTCAAGACCTTGTTGATGATCCAAACTCTGTCAAGG